TGATGTCACCCGGTTGTATAAAGACCAATCAGATTGTCGGATCTCGTGTAACCACAACAAAGCGAAGAAAGAAAAAACTCGAAATTGTATTATGAAAACTATACTTTAACTTCTAAGCAAAAGTTTTCAGCGCCAAATTTTACATATATTTAGACCCTCTTATTTTAAACCTAAGTTAACTCTAACCCTAACTCTAAATTTATTTAATTTTTAACAATTTTATAATACCAGGTGACATCACCCGGGTGAAAATTAGTTATTCTCAATAGTTTATTTCTCAACAAGACACAATAAAAAACAACTCCAAAGTTTTCATGTAAATTAAGCATAGTAACATCTAACATTAATAACATCTCACATTAATAAAAATCTACCTTAATAACATGAGATTTCAGTATTAGTAGGTATACTTTGTTTCCAACGAAATACATTATGAGGATCATATTTTCGTTTAATTTCACCAGTTTTCCAAAACCTTCACCATTGCATCTACATTGCCAATTATCCAACTGATTATCAATTAAATTTTGATAACTTTGGAAATTTGTATACATTCGTCGAAAAAATTTCCAAGTCCCATAAACACTTTTCAGAAACCTCTTCCACTTTAATTTACATATGGTTCATAAAACCTCTGGGTGAATGCTGTTTCATTTCTCTTAATCTCATTAACTCTTCCACCAAGTAGTAACATCTCAATTCTTAAACTACACTTGAAACTTTCGATAAATTTCATTAAATATTTAGCTCCTTCATAAAATAGCCCATCATGATTCATAAAGAATGACTTTACTTTAAAATCACCTGGAATTTTAATTGATTCTGAGGTATTAGTAATTAAGTCGTAGCAACTTCCTTCAATATTATCGTATTTTTAGGTTTAGAAAATTTAATCTTGCATTTTGGGAATTTAGTGATTGACGTTGCGAAACTTATATTTTGAGGAAAATAACTATTCCCCAATTGATTTATCACTGTAAGAATTGTTGAGACCTGGTCCAAATCATATGTATAATTAAATTGAGTTACAATCTTCTGGATAGGATGTACCTTGAGAGTGAAAGTTGTAGTAATACCATAGCCTGCATTTCCTGCTCCTCAAATAGCCACCAAAAGTTCCGTGTGTTCCTTAACACTGTTAATTATTGTCCCATTTGCTAAAACCATTTGTATATCAAGAAGATTATCTGATGAATATCCAAATTTTCGAACAAGAAATCCCATACCCTGTAAAAAAAGTAAAAATAAAATTAAATAAATAAAATTGAGGTTTATAATTTTTGCAGTTTAAAACAAAACAATGAAGATCTTCAAGAAATGCTTACACCTCCAGTTATATGCCCACCAACTCCAATATAAGGACAACACCAGCTGGAAATGCAAATCCATATTGGGATACACCGTAATATATGAATCTAGTGTATTTTCTGTTCCGATTATTGCAGTTTGTGAAGTTACATCGACGGTAACTTTATTGAAGCCTCCAACATCAATAACTAAATAACAATCTTTATCTCCAAGTCCATAATTTTCATAAGAATGACCGCTTGATCTTGCAAATCAAACTTTGTTCTGCATTTAATAGTATTTTGAACATCTAATACATCTACAGGATGAACAAATGCTACTGGAAAATGAATAAATAGTCTATTATATTCTACGTCAATATCAGCATTATAGGCAGAAAAGTCATCTCGATAATTGATAGGTCCTTTAATGTAATGATCAAGATATTTTTGAAGCGAATTTTCTCTTGGGCATTTACTAGTTAGATAAGCGTATTTAGTAGTATATATAGTTTAATTAATAAAATTATAATGTATATATATGAAATCATTTTTTAAAAGATTTACAAGTAATGATTCCTCTTAATAATTTCATACAAAAATTAGCTAGTTTACACCAACTGATTATGAAAATTGACATATTTTTCTATGAACTTTTGAGTGTTTTTTCTATTTATGGCTGGATTAGAATCTTAGTTAGGGTTGTTAATAAAAAAATGCATGTGAGGATTTTAGTATGTTTGGTAACCGACCTTAACATCAGTCGCAACAATAAGGTAGATTAATCATGCACAAAACATTGTCAGTGATGTTATACAAGCCACTCAGGCTATACTTCTGTATTCGGCCTATTAATTTTATACTTATAATTCAGAATAATGTTGGCAAGCGAAACTGTTTTTGGCAAATGGCGAAAGACAAACCCGGCGAAAGACGAAACCAGGCGAAACTCTGGAGAAACGGTGAAACTCTGGAAAACGGCAAACTCTGGTGAAATGGTGAAACTCTGGCGAAACCCCTGCTAAAGTGAAACCTCTGTGGAAGTCAAAACTCAGCGAAGATCAAATCCTCTAAGACTTTAGAAAAGACTAAGCCATGTTAGTAAATCAAAATATTTTGAATGTGGCTATTAAGCACAGCATGTGTCTTATTTAAAAATGTACAAAACAATAAACAAAGTGATAATCTTTCGTTTGTATTCAAGAAAATCAGATTTTCGGCTTTTAGAACTTCGAAGAAAGTAAATTCAGCCTTGAAAATTCAAAGCCTAAAATCTTGTTTTCTTTTAGTAGCGCTTATCTATGAATTAATATTATTTATGTAAAATAAACTTACTTAAATATTGCATATTGTTATATTGTTGAGATTTTTTCTTAAGTTTCATTATTAAAAACTTTAATTAAATACATATGCAAATAATTTGTTAACTCTAATATTACTGGCAATTATTTCCCGATGCTCTAATTTATCTAGCTCTAAATCTTAGGGATATTAATTTACGAATCCATGTAATGTGTAAATCAAAACAAAATTTGCATAAAATGAAAAATTAAGCGTAGCATAAAATTATGGTTGGTGTGAGTTTGGGATGGGACGGGTTAATTTTACCAAAATTTCGCAAGGATTTATGGTTGAATAAGCGAAATTTTGAGTTATAAACGGTTTTTTAAAGAGAGCAATAATTTTACGTTACAATTGATCGTGTAACCTGAAGGGCTTTCTATATATCCGTGTATATATGTTGTAAGTGGAAACGGAATTTAAGTGGATTCGGAATTTATATATAAAACCCCCGTTCTGGGGTTGATTTTATCATATGTTTAATTTAACTAGGAAATTCCAAATCCACTTAAATTCCATTCCCACCTACAACATATACATGTAGTGTACGAATATAATAAAATTACAAATTATTAAAAATTTTATTGTAAAAAATATATATGTTGTAACAAATATAATATGAATAATATATAATATTATATAAATAAAAATATATAACTAAAAATAATTATTATATAAAAAAGCTTAAATTATCTTTAATTACCTTTTTTATTCTTGCTTTTTTTTATTAATTTTACTATCTTCATTAATTTGCTACCTTTTTCGCCACCTTTTGGCAGTTTCACCAGTTTCGCCAGTTTCGCCACCTTTCGCCATTTCGTCATTTTAATTTTTTTTTTGGCGAAAGTCGAAACTAGGTTTCGGCATTCGTCTGTGGCGAAACCTCTAAGTTTCGCTTGCCAACACTAATTCAGAATCCAAAAGTTTTTATAAAAAATTTTAACTTTTTTAGATCCTGAATAATAAGTCTGAATGCTTTTATATATCACGTCACTGCCAATTTTTTTGTGACCTGCAACATTACAAAATATAGTATCCTCTTAGGGCACCACATGTATCATTACATCTGATAAACAATAGAACCGCCACAACTGGAATTTACTAATTATTCACATATCGGAGTACCTGTTATTAATGTGCTTATTTTTAATAGAAAAATAAATAAAATAAAATAAAAATAAAAAATATATAAAAAAAAGTATATATATTTATTTGTTTCTTAATGTTTTTAATGGATATTCTTAAAGCCACTGACTTAAAAGTTTGCAATAAAATGTTTTAATGGTTATTTTTAAAGCCACTGGCTTAAAAGTTTGCAAAAAAATGTTTTTAATGGGCATTCTTAAAGCCACTGGCTTAAAAGTTTTCAATAAAATGTTTTTAACGGGTATTCTTAAGCCACTGGCTTAAAAGTTTGCAAAAAAATATTTTAATGGGTATTAAAACCACTGGCTTAAAAGTTTGCAACAAAATGTTTTTATTTAGTGATAGGACCCGAATTTAGTAGTTTTGGCATATTCTGTATTCCAAATTGACAAAACTTGGAACTTTGTATTTCGTCAAAGTTGGGTTGTATCGCTATTTAGTTGCTTAGTATTATGAAATTGTTTATATCTAATAAACAAAATCAGGCTTATTATTGACCAATTTTAAACCCCTACTAACAAATTAAAGAATGAATTAGTGAAAACGCGTCAAATTTTTTCTAATTTATTATTTTTAAAATTTTGCTTTAATCTAATAAAATTAGGGAATTGATATTCGTACCACATAGCGGGCTTTCATCGCAATTGGCTAATTACATTACTACGAAATCCAACAAGTCAAAGCATAAGGTTATTATCCCGATACAAACAGAATCCTATAATCCAAGATCTCATCACTGTACTAAAAATGTATTAATACTCAAACTAAAAAAAATAATAATAATGAAAAAAATAAATATAAAATAACTATCTAAGAGACAACAAAAACCTTATAATCAAAGTTTCATTATATGGGGTTGAGTCAATAGAAACCAAACAAATATTTTTTAATAAGTTTTTTTAAACTTAAACAAGAATAACTTAAATTAATTTTACAAATTTATAAAAATCATTTAAAAAAATTTATTAAATTTGATTAAGTTTTTGTTAAATTATTCGGATGTTCTATAGAATAGGTGGGCAAACTCTGCAAACTCTGCAACTCCGCTATTAAAAAATTAATAATTACTAATCATTATGAAGCTTATTTCTTATTTTGCCCACTTATTCTATAGAACATCCAATTATTCTTGTTTAAAGTTATAAAAAATTTTTATTATTAAAAATTTGCTTGATACTAACTCTTTCCAATGATCACTTGTACCAAAAACTCTCTCTAAATAATCACTCTATTCTCTAAATTTTACTAAGTAAATCTACTTTGGCCGCCTAAGTAAAACTGTTCTACAGTAAATTTTACTTATAGGTGGCCTAGTTTTAAACTTTTAAAGCTCTTTGTTACAAAATTATAACCAATTTTCTAAATTTTACTTCAACTGGCAAAAACTCAAAATTCTATTAAGTCAACACCCAATGCTCTTTAATACAAAAATATTCAGCTCATCAACAGTTTTATTTTGATATATAATACATAAAAAAACAGACTAAAATTAACAAAACTACAATTAAAATACTCCCAAACTCCATTACAAAAACTCTATATTTTTTCTACAAAACTTTTTTCTATTTTTTGGGGATTCCTGTCTCTCTAGGATGTCCAAGATCTGGAAATTCACATTACTAATCAATATTAGTAATCAATTTACACAACCACAATATTTGTTTCATCTATTTTTATACAAAATTTAATTTTACTATTTTAGTTTTAGTAAATTTACACAAATCTCATTCTATTGATATACAAGTTACACCATTACACTTGGTTACACCAAGCCACACTTGCTACGCCAAGTCACACTTGTTACAAATATTTTATCTTTTGATTACACAAGGTTATACAAGGTTATACATAAAGTCACACTAGCCGCTTCTTAAATAACCTCTGTTATTTATATACTTTTAATCCCTAACTTACAAATTCTATATCCCAAAAAGAACTTTAAATTTTAATCACTATTTTAACTTTTTACTTATTTTAACTCTTATAAAAAACTTAGAATAATTTCTATAACAAATACAAAACTTACAAAAACCAACTATCAAATATAATTATAACCTTCTTTAAAAAATGTCTCAACGTAGATTTCCTCACAATTCATCTAAACATGACCCAACTAGCTTCATTAACAATACAACTGGTTTCAAGCATTCCTAATTAACACTGAAGCAGAAAAACAAACTCAATTTCCAACACCACTTGGCACTCAAATTCTTGACTTTATTAAACCTTTCCTTTTAAATTTTTATCCTGGTCGAATTATTTGACATGAACTACAATTTCTTACTTACTTTATTCACCAAAATATAACCAATGACAAAAATATCAATATTTCACCTAACTATCTTTTATTTATTTTAAGAGATATTTTATCTAACTTTACTACTGTCCTTTTTACAAAATTAAATTATAAAAAAATATTCTATTCAAATTATTTTTTACCTATTCTATTCCTAAACATTCCCAAATTGCAATTAATCTTGCTTGTCTACATCTTTTTCTTCTAAATCAATACAAAACTATTAATTATATTAAATTCTTTGAAGATTTGGACCTTAAACC